CACGATATAAACACACACACACACTCAGCATGTTATAAACACACACACACATCAACACACACACACTCAGCACGTTATAAACACACACACACACTCAGCATGTTATAAACACACACACACATCAACACACACACACTCAGCACGTTATAAACACACACAATATATACACAGACTCACTCACTCACACATCACACACTCTCCATCATACCTTGCGTGAGAGTCGGCGTCTGATCTCTCTCTTCTCCTCCATCTGCTCCTGCTCATTACGAGCTGTGGGACAGGAGCAGGTCAGAGGTCAGAGGTGTTGAGTTCACATCAGCAGATTCAACACACATACGGTGTTAAAGGCTGAAGCAAGATCACTGCACATTACAGTCAACATGAACTGCTGTGAGGATCTGATTTCATCCACGAGGAACAGACTGCATCATGGGAAGTGGGCTTTGGTGTGTAAGTGTCTCTCTGGGTTCTGGACTCACGTTTGAGGATGTTCCTCTGCTCCAGCTCTTCAGCCGTGGGTCTCTGAATCAGTCTCCTGTTCGACACACACACACACACACACACACACACACACACACACACACACACACACACACGAACACACTCACACACACACACTCACTCACACACACAAACACACACTCTCACACACACACTCACACACACACCACACACACACACACACACGTCAAAATCAAAAGAAGCTCCAGAATGAGTCAGGCCTATTTGAGCAACGGAGAAGGCTTACAAAAAAGCATGGGACCAAATGAACGATTCTAGAGGTTTAAGACACTCCAGGTGAAAACACGCAAACATTTGAACCAATAGATATCACCATTATTCCCCAGTTCTCTGAAATGTTATTTTTAAATATGCAAACTAGGCATTCTCTAAATAAATATGCACTAGTTTGCATAAATTTATTGATCATAAATCTGAACACTGGATAAAGCCAGGCTGAATAGTCTTGTTTGATTTTGTTGACAATAAAGGTTTTTCCAGAGGAGATTTTAGATTTCTCTTTTTATCACTCAAAGAATCAGAAAATACTGTGAACAGACAGGAAACAAACACTTAAATGTGTATTTTGGATGTTTTTTTTCCTGTAGTCTGAAAGAAGTCATGATGTGGAAGCAAAATAGACCAAAATCTCCAAAACGGAGACAGATGAGAGTCACATTACAGCTGCAACTGATTGACGCTTCAGAAAACCGCAGTAATGCAGTGTTTGTGTGACACACATGACATTCAGTGGTTGTGCAATCGAAGGTGGTTTGTGTGTGTGTGTGTGAGAGAGAGAGTGCATGAGTGTATGTGTGTGTGAGTGCATGAGTGTGTGTGTGTGAGTGTGTGTGAGCGTGCATGAGTGCGTGTGTGTGAGTGCGTGTGAGAGTACATGAGTGTGTGTGTGTGTGTGTGCATGAGTGTGTGTGCGTGTGCATGAGTGTCTGTGTGTGTGCATAAGTGTGTGTGTATGAGTGTGTGTGCATGAGTGCATGAGTGTGTGTGTGAGTGCATGAGTGTGTGTGTATGAGTGCATGAGTGTGTGTGCGAGAGTGCGAGAGTGTGTGTGTGTGTGTGTGTGAGTGAGAGTGCATGAGTGTGTGTGTGAGTGCATGAGTGCATGAGTGTGTGTGTGTGTGTGTGTGAGTGCATGAGTGCATGAGTGTGTGTGTGTGTGTGTGTGAGTGCATGAGTGCATGAGTGTGTGTGTGTGTGTGTGTGAGTGCATGAGTGCATGAGTGTGTGTGTGTGTGTGTGTGAGTGCATGAGTGCATGAGTGTGTGTGTGTGTGTGTGTGAGTGCATGAGTGCATGAGTGTGTGTGTGTGTGTGTGTGAGTGCATGAGTGCATGAGTGTGTGTGTGTGTGTGTGTGAGTGCATGAGTGCATGAGTGTGTGTGTGTGTGTGTGTGAGTGCATGAGTGCATGAGTGTGTGTGTGTGTGTGTGTGAGTGCATGAGTGCATGAGTGTGTGTGTGTGTGTGTGTGAGTGCATGAGTGTCTGTGTGTGTGCATAAGTGTGTGTATGAGTGTGTGTGCGTGAGTGCATGAGTGTGTGTGTGTGAATGCATGAGTGTGTGTATGAGTGCATGAGCGTGTGTGTGAGAGTGCATGAGTGTGTGTGTGAGTGCATGAGAGTGCATGAGTGTGTGTGTGAGTGCATGAGTGCATGAGTGTGT